CCCAGCACTTTGGGAGGCCGAGGTGGGCGGATCACGAGGTCAGGAGATTGAGACCATCCTGGCTAACACGGTGAAACCCTGTCTCTACCAAAAATACAAAAAATTAGCCAGGCGTGGTGGCGGGTGCCTGTAGTCCCAGCTACTCTACCCAGGAGGCTGAGGCAGGAGAATGCCGTGAACCTGGGAGGTGGAGCTTGCAGTGAGCGGAGATCCGGCCACTGCACTCCAGCCTGGGCAACAGAGCCAGACTCTGTCTCAAAAAAAAAAAAAAAAAAAAAAATAGAAAAAGGATCTGAATAGACATTTCTCCAAAGAAAATATACAAACGACCAATAAGCACAGAGAAAGATACATGTTCAATATCATTAGCCATCAGGGAAAGCCAAATCCAGGTCACAAGATATCCACTTCACACCCACTAGGATGGCTACAATCAAAAGACAGATAATAATATTGGTGAGGATGTGGAGAAATTGAAACCTTCATACACTGCAGGTAGGAATGTAAAATGGTACAGCCACTTTGGAAAATAATCTGGCACTCCTTCAAATAGTTAAACAGAGAACTAGTGTATGATTCAGTAATTCTATTCATAAGGACATGCTCCAGAGAAATAAAAACATTTTCATACAAAAACCTGTATACTTATTTATAATTGCATTATTAAAAGAAAAAGTATCATGATCAAGTAGAGTTATTCTAGGAATGCAAGAGATAGCTTAATATTTTGTTGATAAATAAAGGAAGAGAAAAAGTATGATTATTGAAAGATGCTAAAATTTTGATAAAAAATTTTAGTTTAAAAAAACTTAGTAAGCTGAAGAGAGAAGAAAATTGCTTACAATCATTGAGCATTATTTATAATTGCCAAAAAGTGGAAGCAACCCAATGTCCATTAACTGATAAGCAGATAAACAAAATGTGGTCTGTCTAAGGATAGAATTGTTTTTGTATTTGGCAATAAAAAGAAATAAAGTACTGATTTCATCTATAACATGGAAGAATTTTGAAAACATTTCACTAAGTGAAAAAGCCAGTCACAAAAGACCAAATATGGTATGATTCCATTTATGTGAAAAGTCCAGAATTGACAAATCTATAGAGACAGAAAGTAGATTAGCAGTTACCTAGGACACAGGGATTGCAGTGGGGGAATGGGAATATGATAGCTATAGAGTGCAGGGTTTCTTTTTATGATAGTCATAATGTTCCAAAATTGACTGCTGATAAATGTACAATTCTGTGAATATACTAAACAACACTGAATTACATAACTTTATTTATTTTATTTTGAGACAGAGTCTTGCTCTGTCACCCAGGCTGGAGTGCAGTGGCAAGATGTTGGCTTACTGCAGCCTCCGCCTGTCGGGTTCCTGCAATTCTCCTGCCTCAGCCTCCCAGGTAGCTGGGATTACACGCATGTGCCACCATGCCTGACTAATTTCTGTATTTTTAGTAGAGACGGGGTTTCACCATGTTAGCCAGGCTGGTCTCGAACTCCTGAGCTCAGGTGATCTGCCCACCTCAGCCTCCGAAAGTGCTAGGATTACAGGCGTGAGCCATTGTGCCCAGCTGCGAATTACGTAACTTTACATAGGTAAATTGTACGGTTTGTGGAGTGAATTTCACTAATGCTATTAAAAAAAAATATTTATGTGGCATCTATTTATGTGCCTAAAATGCAGCTATCATGATCTTTACAAATGACTGATAAATTTCACTGTAAAAATTCTGACAAGAAGCTATTACAAAAATGATTCTTTGCTACTTTATAGAATTTATTTTAATTTTTTTTTTAAGTAGAGACAGGGTCCTACTTTGTTGCCCAGGCTGGTCTTAAACTAGCAGTCTCAAGTGATCCTCCTGCCTCAGCCTCCCAAAGTGCTGGGATTACAGGCGTGAGCCACCACACATGCCCAGCCTGTATTTCTTTTTCTGTGAATTGCCTATTCACATGATCATTTTTTATTATCTTTTTTTCTCCTAATGATTGTAAGCAAACTTTTCTTCTCTCTTTAGCTTACTTTTTTAAATCAAAATTTGCTATCAAAATTTTAGCATCTCTCAATAATCATACTTTGTTTCTTCCTTTAATTAGCAACAAAATATTTTCATGTTAAGCTATCTCTTGCATTCCTAGAATAACTCTACTTAATCATGATGTTTTTTCTTTTAATATCATTTCCGAACTCAGTATCAACACTCTCATTTTCCAGGTAAGCAGACTGAGCCTCAGAAAGGCAACGTTTTAGTTTGTTTGTTTTAATTTTTCCATTATAGCACACATCCTAGGATACTAGATAGTCTTTAATTGGGAATCTAATAAACCACTTGTAACCCAGATTTTATGACAAACAAATGATTTCCAATGCTTTACTAAATTTCTTCACACACCAATGTTAAAACCACTTAGGCAGTAATGATGTCATTTGGTAAAATGGGATTTTTTTTTCTTTTTGAGACAGAATCTAGCTCTGTCACCCAGGCTAGAGTGTAATGCTGTGATCTCGGCTCACTGCAACCTCTGCCTACTGGGTTCAAACAATTCTCCTGCCTCAGACTCCTAAGTAGCTGGGACTACAGGCATGCGCCACCACGCCCGGCTAATATTTGTATTTTCAGCAGAGATGGGGTTTCTCCACTGTTGGCCAGGCTTGTCTCAAACTCCTAACCTCAGGTGATCCGCCCGCCGCGGCCTCCCAAAGTGCCGGGATTACAGGCATGAGCTACTATGCCCAGACAGGATTTTTTTTTTTTTTTTTTGAGACAGGGTCTTGCTCTGTCACCCAGGCTGGAGTACAGTGGCACAATCATAGCTCATTGCAGCCTCAACCTCCCAGGCCCAAGTGATCCTCTCGCCTCAGCCGCCCGAGTAGCTGGGACTATAGGTGTGCACCACCAAGCCAGGTGAATTTTTTAAACTTTTAGTAGAGGCAAGGTCTCACTATGTTGCCCGGCCTGGTCTCGAACTCCTGAGCTCAAGCCATCCTCTCGCCTAGGCCTCCCAAAATGCTGGGATTACAGGTATAAGCTACCGCACCCAGCCGTAAATTGGGATCTTGCTCAAAATCTAGTCCTTCCCTTATATTTGGGCTCAAAATATATTATTTTGAATGACAAGTCAGAATCAAAAAATTGATTGTGGTTCAAGAATCTATTACCTATTTCCTTTGAATCATATATTGTTAAGAATATTGGTCATACAGGTGACAAGTTTATTCTAGCAGATTTTTTTTTTGTCTGAGATGGGGTCTCACTCTGTCACCCAGGCTAGAGTGCAGTGGCACAGTCACAGGTCACTGCAACCTCTGCCTCCTGGGCTCAGGCCATCCTCCCACCTCACCCTCCCAAGTTGCTGGGACTACAGGCACCTGCCACCATGCCTGGCTAATTTTTTGGGTTTTTTTTGTAGAGATGGGGTTTTGCCATGTTGCCTAGGCTGGTCTCAAACTCTGGGGCTCAAGCAGTCCACTCTCCTTAGCCTCCCAAAGTGCTGGGATTACAGGCATGAGCCATGACATCTGGTAATTTCTTTTTTTTTCTTTTTTTTAGAGACAGAGTCTTGATCTGTTGCCTAGGCTGGACTGCAGTGTGTAATCATGGCTCACTCGACCTCCTGGACTCAAGTGATCCTTCCATTTCAGCCTCCTGAATAGCTAGGACTGCAGGCATGCACCACCATGCCCAGCTGTTTTTTTAATATTTTTGTAGCGATGGGGTCTCACTCTGTCACCCAGGCTAGAGTGCAGTGGCACAGTCACAGCTCACTGCAACCTCTGCCTCCTGGGCTCAGGCCATCCTCTCTATGTTGACCAAACTGATCTCAAACTCCTGGGCTCAGCCCCCCAAAGTGTTGGGATTACATGTGTGAGCCACCACGCCCAGCCTCAATAATTTCTAAAAAGGAAAATTATTTTTCCCACTCACCTTTTCCAGATCAAGTTCCTTTAAAAGAATACTTGCATTCTTATTTGCTTCTGCAGCTTGCTGGTCTTTAGCCTTCACAATGGTTTCAACACATTGATGACATTTTTTCAACAGTTCCTACAGCAGGAAATAGAATTATGTAAATATATAATGAAACATAATATAAAGAGGCCAAATAAAACTTAAGCTGATGAGCACATTGAAGTCCAGAGGTTAAAGCTCAAACTGAAAAGTCACTAAACCAAATGAAGTTATCCTTTGAGTCCAGTCATGTATCAATCTTCCACAAAAATAAGACACCATTTCCCTAAAAACCTGCATGTCCTTAGGAAGCCTTCTCATTAGGCTAATGGTTTAGTACCTTAGTGTAGCCACTGTGACTATGGTCCACAGTAGAAATCTCAAAATAGTTTATCAAAACTATTATACCCCTCTATTTTACAAATGGAGAAACAAAAGCATAAAGAGATCAGGTAACCAACCTTTCAGAATATAAAAAGAACAAGTTCCTAACTGCATACTTTGGCATATCATTCCACAAAGAACAAAAATGCGCTTCAGTAGCATATTAAACTTACCTTATCTGTAATTGTTGCTATGTATCTCATGCATTCTATATCAGAAGGGAACTGATTTACTTCCTTTACCAAATATTGAACAACTTTTACATGACCCTATAAGAAGAAGAACAATCTTAGACAAGATAGCATGAAAAGAAAAAGTATTCTTAAGAATAAAAATAAAGTAAAACAAAAAAAATTACAAAGGAATCCCTTGATTTTGCATATATGCTTACCAATTTAAGAATAAAAAGGCAAATACTTTCAAATAGAATATTAAGTTTAAAATGAAAATTATGAAAATAAAATAAGCATTCAGCTTATAAACAGAAAAGCATAAAAACAAGAATGTATGCTCAGGAGTGGACGGTGGACTAGACAACATTTCTCCTGAAGTTAATCCCACTGAAAAGTAGAAAAGGCTTTTGTAGAAAAACAGTTATCTCCTAGAATAAATCTATTAGACAAACATTGGTGATATAAAATGAACCTCAGTGTAAAAGAGAAATGAATCCTAAAACAAATAATTTTTTAAAATTTCAAAGTCTTACTTTGCTTCTACTTCACTAACTAAACAAGGTGTACTATCACAACTTTCTGAGCCTTAGGACTTGAATCTAAATAAAACACTTTCTAAATGCCATTATCAAGGGTTGGAAGATCTATAATCAATTCTAAGCATATATATATTTTTTTTTTTTTTGGAGACGGGAGTCTCGCTGTTGTCGCCCAGGCTGGAGTGCCATGGCGCGCTCTCATCTCACTGCAACCTCCACCTCCCAGGTTCTAGCAATTCTCCTGCCTCAACCTCCGGAGTAGCTGAGATTACAGGCGCCCACCACCATAACTGGCTAATTTTTGTATTTTTAGTAGAGACAGGGATTTACCATGTTGGCCAGGCTGGTCTTGAACTCCTGACCTCAGGCAATCCACCTGCCTCGGCCTCACAAAGTGCTGGGATTACAGGGGTGAGCCACGGCGCCCGGCAAGCACGTCTATTTTAATCTAACCAAGCTTGCATAGTTTCCCTTCCTACTCAGGTTCTAAAACATCCTCAAGAATTAGTGTGATGGAGATAAAAATCAGAGAAATGCTTGCCTCTGGGGCAGGGAAGTGATTAAAAGTGGGCAAGAGGGAACCTTCTAGGGTTACGGAAATAATTTATATGTTTATGGGGTATGGGTTACATGTATGTATACATTTATCAAAACTAAACCACGTACCTTAAGATTCATGTATTTCACTATATGTAAATTGCATTGTGCTAAACAACTGAGTATATAAACAGTGCTGAAAAAGATGGTCATGACTCTTGTCCTCATGGACCTACCAGTCTAGTTGGCGAGACAGGCATTAAAATGGTAAGTACATGTTTGAAGATATATTTACAAATTGGGATAAGGAAAATCAAAACTCATCTATAAAAGAGAACCAGAGGAACCTTTTTCAGATTAGGTGTTAGTGACATACTCTTTGAGAAGCGACATGTAAAATTGGAGCTAACAGATGAGTAGAGAAGTGAGTTAGGTGAACAGCAAGGGAAAACATTTCAGGAAAAGAAAACCAGTGAGCAAAGGCCCTGAGGCCGTTGAAAATTTAGTGCATTTGGCCGGGCGTGGTAGCTCACGCCTGTAATCCCAGCACTTTGGGGGGCCGAGGCGGGCAGATCACAAGGTCAGGAGATTGAGGCCATCCTGGCTAACGTGGTGAAACCCCATCTCTACTAAAAATACAAAAACTTAGCCGAGCGTGGTGGCGGGCGCCTGTAGTCCCAGCTACCTGGCAGGCTGAGGCAGGAGAATGGCGTGAACCCGGGAGACGGAGCTTGCAGTGAGCCGAGATTGCACCACTGCACTCCAGCCTGGGCGACACAGCGAGACTCTGTCTCAAAAAAAAAGACCCATCCCCAACCAGTAGGTTTCCCAAACTTTTTACTCTCATAGAAGACCTAGCTTGGCAGTGTGCCTTTGTGATTCGGCAATGTTGAAAACCCTACCTCACACCTTTGTCATCAGTTTAATATGGTGTGCAATTCTAATTCCTAGTTACTCCTTACTAATCCTAACATTTGTATGGAGAATTACTAAACCGTGGTCTACAGACAGACCAGATTCCATCCAGTCATGGCAGTGCGCACTGCAAGATTGTTCCCCCCCCCACCCAGGGTTGTCACTCTGCCTCTGCCCTAAAATAAATGTGGACTCATTAGCAGGCCAGTGGAAGGACAGATACAGGGAAGGAGAGGCTGAACCAGAGGCAGTAGAAAGGCCAGCCTTCCCCCAAAGGGCCTCTGCGGCAACTGTAGTCCCTGGTTGAGTCAGAGATAGGAGAAGCAGCGATTGGGTAGGGGATTGGTGAGGGAGCAGCCGAATGAGCGGGATAGGTGGAGAGACCAGAGAAAGATGGAGAGGAGACCAAAGGATACAGACGAGAGACAGGAGGAGAGAGAGAGAGAGGCGGAGAGAACACAAGACAGGAGATGGGGAGAAAACAAGATGGAGAGACAAGGTGGAGACGAGACAAAGAACAAGAGGATGGAAGAACAGAAGATGGAGAGAGACGAACCACGAGAGAGGAGAACAGGTGGAGAGAGACATGAGATGGGGAGACAGAGATGAAGAGACAGGGTGGCAGACGAGATGGAGTAGAGGACAGAAATGTGGAGAGAGACGATGAGGAGAGACGAGAGATGAAGGAGAGACAGAGAGAGATAATGAGAGATGTAGAGAGAACAGAGACAGAGTGTAAGAGAGACAGAGGTGAAACAGAGATTACCTTTTTGCTACTCTACGCCAACTCTTCATGGTGTAATTGCCACAGTAAGCTCCCGCAGCGACCAGACGGCCCCGTTGGAGGCTACTTTTGGTGATAACCAACAATATCTAAACTTTACCATACCTCCCATCACCAGTCCCTTTGCGTCCAGTATTTTAGTGCCTACTTAACCTCTATATACGAAGGAGAATTGTCCTAACTAGCTTTCCCAGCTCAAGCTCCAGCATAACATCAAACGGCTTTTTTTCTTCCCCTAATTAATCGGGTTTTCCCTAGCTTCCAAATTTAAATGCCCCCTTTAACCCCCGACCACCGGTATGGCTACTGGCCTGTAGTACAGCAGATGCTTCCCATGTCCTAATCCCCATACTAATCCTCTGCCCTTATGTCTTGCTCCCATTCTAATAAAATTTCTCCGAGCCAAAGGTTCAAGAGATCACCCGAGTCCACTTCAACCAAATGCTCCTGCCATCCCTACACACAAACTGCCAACCCTCAGACCCCTAACTACGTCCTTAACAGCAGGAAGGCAGGAGCCAGACAGACCCACGGCGCCCTAAATTCTTATAATCAATAAGAAGGTTGAGACTGTTTTTGGGTGAAGAGAAAGACAAGATGGAAGGAAGGTGGAAACCAGAAGGTATAATCCCATGTGCGTCCGGGTTCTTCCTCACCACTTTCCCCGCACCCCACAGCGCGGGAAGATGGCAGATCAACGTCCGAGCATGCACCAGGTGATGTCAATCGAAGAGGATCGAAACTTACCGCCGGCCACGCCTAAAGAGACGCCCCTATCACGCCTTCATCCGCACTGCCTCCCCTTCCAGTACCAATGATTTAAAGGTCCGCTGCCGGCAGGAGCCAGTGTGACTCTCTTCGCCCCCCGCATTTGTGACAAGGAGAACATCACCTCGATGGACGCCGGCGCGACTTCCCCTGCCCCCCACCACCTGAGGGACAAGAGAACTTATGCCGAGAGTGTGTGCATATATTTGCCATAAAGACTGCCACTTTCTTTATGTA